TTTTTTTTTTTTGCAAGGTTTCTTTTTTTTACTGCTCAGTAAAGTGAGACACACTGTCTAGATTTGAGCCAGACATAATACAGGCAGGCACTATGCAGGCTTTCTCCCACAGCTGGCTAATGCCCCTCATATCTGACTTGCAACACTCTGCTGGTTCTGTATTGGTCCTTGAGGGATCAAAAAATGCCTGGGTCGGATTTTGGTTCCTCCAGATACAAAAACTAAGCTAGGGAGTGGGGGAGGGAAGTCAAATAACTCCCCAGCAACCTTGAGAAAGCTCGGATTTTTCTTATTTTCCCAAGTAGATTAATGGGAAGCAAACTTTCCGTATTTTAATCAGATATGCTGATAGTGAGTGCAGCAGCGTAACACTCTAAGAAAAGCTGGCATGCGCACACTCGCTGAATTGGATTCATGGTGCCACTGGTTTGAACTGAATAGTAACAATTGTCTAAATCCCAACATGCCAGATGCTCTAAAAATATTCTGTTGTGGGTCCTTTGCGTAAAGAAGTCTAAAGCAACTGGACACTGTGCTGCTGCTCCTCATGAATGCCCCTGGAAGAACCATTCCAAAGAATTCTCTGGAGCAAAATGAGGCTTTTAATTGTGCTAATAAAGGTTGCAGTGTCTTGACTACCAACTTTTGTAAGGAGGGGGAAAAAACCATGGTGTCAGAACTTTAGTTTGTAGATCGGTTTATAAAAAGCACTGACACTTTTAGTGAATGATTAAGAGCTAATGATCTCCATAGTTTGTCTCCTGTAATTTAAACAATTTTTGCAGTTTTTTATGGGTCTGGGAACACTGACTTGATTACTGCTTACCCAAAATGGTTGTTCCTAGGAAAAGCCACTACACTGTGGGCTGAAGGAAAAGAACATAATTCACAAGATTATTTTTTTGTTTGCCCAAATACATAATTATTTGATAGTTTTCTAAATTGCACTTTATTCTTAATTTTATAAACCTGGTGTTGGGTTTTAACTCACCAGGATATGACTTAGGTTTTGGAGGAGGGAAATATGACTTATAACGAGCCCAAATTCTTAATCGCACCTTTAAGGAATTTCTAGCTCGCTGTGATTAAATGAAACCTGGTGAATCATGGGTGCCTGCAGGGTTATAAACACCATGCCCCAATTGTGGTAACTGTTGTTTGTCTTTCTTTCAGTCAAGTTGTCAGAAACAGCATTAGTAACCACCATACAGGCAGCTCTTTTGTTTCTCAATTCCTTCTTTCTCTCTTTGCTGTCTAATTGTTTTCCACTTAAGAGGCTGACTAAGGGAAAAAAAAAAAAAAAAGCCTTATCAGAGTTACCTGAAGATTTGGTAATTTTTCTGGTTCTGTGTGGATTACACTATTAAGAGCTGGATTTGTTTTTCACTGTTTAGAGGCTTTAGTCCATGCTATACAAAATCTCACCTTTTTTTTCCTTCTATTTAACCTCTCTTACTTTCTCTTTCTGCTCTCTGTCAATTTCCTTTTGTCAGAATGACCTGCTTCTCCTGCTGGTTGTTTCCACTTTTCTCAGGCTAGAAGCTGGCCAGGAGCCAGCAAATAAGAAGGGGAGAAGCTTTATTAGAAGCTATGGTTGTGAAGAGGGGGAAAACTCAGAATTACACTCAGCACAGGGGAAAACAAGTGAAAATTTGTGTGCAGGATAATGCTTCTGATGATGAGAGGACTAAAACAATGTGAGAAAGAAACATGTAGGAAAAACTGAAGCTTTGTGGCATGAGGTGGAAAGGAGTAAGGTGATATAATTGATACTCTGTAGTTAGCTCAGGTAACAGTCAATAGAATTAAGATTATCTTGGTTTTTTTCTTCAGGGGATTAATGAAAGGTCAGTTTTCAATTCCTGCTTCAGATGGACAGTGGTTTTTAAAGAATCTTAAGTTTGAATAGTTTGTGTGGCTGACAGGCTTTATTTTTGGAAAATACATTGCTCTGACCCTCACAGGCCTTTTTGTAACTGAGTATTGAGAAGCTTTCATGCTTTTATTATAGAAAATGCATTTTCATGTTAATGGATGGCAGGCTAGGTCAGGGTCTTTCAGAAATTGCAACTATGATTGTTTGTTTCTTTTAAACCCAGAGTTTTGAAGACCATGGGAGAAACAGAAGTTATGATCATGCTACCTTTTCATTAAGGAGGTAGTGCATTTATGTGAGAACAAGATGTATAAATTACATTTCTTCTTTGCTTCTGGGAATTTGAACCTACATCTCTTTCAAATTAGGATGGTGGTTTAATAATCAGATAGTTTCTCAGTGTGTGACTTGTAGGGCTCTGAAGACATTTTGAGGTGTAGAAAAACTCCATTGCTCACCCTCAGATTTAAGACGGTGACTCAAATCCTCCAGGATTGTAAAGTATCTGTGAACATTATGTTTATCATGGATCCACTTGCTGCCTTTGACTGCTAGCAGCAGTTTTTGTGGTGTTCAGAAATGTCTTGAGTCTGCAACCACCAGTTATGGCCTCTGTTTTAGACAGTCCTGGCCATGAGAGAGTGCACTGACTTGGCTGTCAATCCCAAGTTAATATATTCATGTTCCCATGTAACTCTATACTGCCATCCCAGTCATGCAAGCATTCTTTGTAGATCTGTGCAGTAATAGATCAAGAAGCTGGTCTGGCTTAAAAAAGCATTACCTGAATAAAGGAGTGATGTGCAGAAGTGTAGGGTTTCAAACACAACTGATGGTAGACAAGTGTCAGGAACAGCTTGAACCATTATCATCATCAAAGCCAGTGCAATGCCAAATCATGATTTGAGATGCTGCTGACTCAGGGATTTACACAAAGACAGATGAGTCAAGTGGGTGTTGTTCTTTAAAGAAATAAATGCACAGAGCTATAGGTTGTTCTTAATGGAAACATTTCTGTGTCTTGAAGCTTCAGAAGAAATATTAAGATGGATGATTCAAAAAGAAGGAACATGGATTAGCTTGGTTCCCAAATCTGCTGGCAAGGGTTGTCTTTTAGGCTCTGGTTTCTTTTCTCAAGGCATTTTGTGTAATTTTATTTAGTGATTATTTTATGTTGGGGAAAAAACCCAAATACTTGGGTGCATGAATCAGAAACAGGGAGCACATTAAAACAGGGGGAGACAAATAAGTTTGGGAGATGGAAATGTTTGTGCCATGGTCCACTCCACCTAAATTAATGTCCTTTTAAAATCACCTTTTATATTATACAAACTTTTTCTTCTATTACTTGCATGACTTGGTGCTGCCTTTTAATTTTTGTTTTCATTTGATATTAATAGCCCTTCTTGCTTCTTCAGTGTCAGACGGGCCTACCAGACAAGTTCTCTATTTTCTGTACTGCCTTTAGAACAATAAGATCTGAGTAGGACAGGGTTTTGTCTGTGTGGTAAGAAAGAGGGGCACAAGTGGTGTTCAGGTAAAGAAATGGAATCCCGGGCATAGATAGCGGAGTAGTATTCAAATGAAGCTTTGGTTACTTACAGCTATGCCTTTTGAAATAGTTTTTAATGGATTATTTAAATATGATTTTGTGTGTTCTAGTGCTAGTATCGATAAAGAAACAATTGCTGGTACCAGTTCACCACAGGCAATGTTGGATCACCATCCTGCGACAGTCATGATGGACTTGCAGTCAGAAGAGGATGTCAAACCTCCTCCTTCTCTGATTATAGACTCACAGCAAAATGAGAACTTTGAACAAGAGGAAGAACACCAGCTGGTGCATATTATGGAAAGGTCTCCTTCAACATCGGTGTCTTCAGTTGATATGAGAGTGATGATGTCTCCTTCCCCTGTACCAAGAAGAGATGAGTTTTTTAGGCTTGAGGTTGGAGAACGCTTTAGACCAGTGTGTGGTTATGACCCTCAAATGTTACAAATGCTGAAAGAGGAGCATCAAATTATATTAGAAAACCAAAGAAAAATTGGTCTTTATGTCCAAGAAAAAAGGGATGGTTTGAAAAGAAAGCAGCAACTGGAAGAAGAACTGTTGCGAACAAAAATCAAAGTAGAGAAGCTGAAGGCAATACGACTACGCCGTGATCTGCCAGAATACAGCAATATCTAAATATTGCTAAATCTAAATATTTTATTACTTCTGTCATATTCTTTGAAATAATAATAAATGCAAAATTGTTTTTTATGTTAATATGGATGGATCAAAATCTGGGCTTGAGACATGACAGCATATGTTGTTTAAGTACTTTAGAAAAATACTTTGTATGGGTTTGAATGCACCAACTCTTCTGGTCTAAAGTACAGTCAAATCCATGTTTAAGTGTTCAGGTTGATAAAAAGCCAAATTTTAAAAATATTTCTACTTACCTTTAAAATTGTGATGAACTAATGGAAATTTAATTCAGTTCTTGTTAAAAATTTTGGTCATATGCATTATTTTTTCAAATAATCACCTTTAATATCTTAATGAAGTTGCAGGTAAATAAATGCATATAAGAAGGAGAAATAAGAGGCCATGTTTAAATGTTTTATTCTTTTCAACTTGGTAAATCTTATGACAGTAGTGACATTTGGCTGATATATCAGCTTGGAAAGCAGAATTACTGGATTGTTATATTTTTTTAATGTTCAGTAGACAGTTGAATAAATGTACATCTTTTAAAAAGTTAATACTTTTTAATTGTTTCCAGTGGAGAAGTATTTCCATAGGATGTTATCAAAATAGAGACAATGAATGGTTTTTAAAACTGCATGCATGTGTAATTTGTGTGTACAGTTACCATGATTGTGTATTCAGTTATAGTAATTATACTGGTGATCAACCACCTAAATAGCTACTTTGCTCATTTGCATGCATAATTACTGCAGTGCATGTGCAACCAAGACAGTTGCGGGTGCCTTTGATCAATATCACTATGACTATAAGCTACTGAAATAAAATAGTTTATGTATGTAAGTAACATGTGACTTGAAATCAACACAAGATTGTGTTATTCTGGGTCCATTTTATAGATCCTGTTGCTCCAATCTTTCAATTAGTTTCAAATAAAAAGCCCCAAATGAAAGAAATATTGATTCTCTTGTCTGTCCTGGTAGGAGCTCTTTCTTTCCTCTGTAGTTATGATCAATGCTCATAACTGGAAGAAAAATACGTGGAAAATATCAGTCCCAGATGATTAATTTCTTCATAATTCATAGTCTCCTGCCTGTTGTGAATGGATCCACAACTGCCTTAGATCTCTGACTCCTTATTCCCTGTAACAATGCTTTCCCCTTCCTCTAACCTTTGCATCAAGAAAAGGAAATGAAGGACAGCATCAAGGAAAAAGAACAAAGGAAATGTAACTCCTCTGGTGCCTCCCATCTCAGAGGGCCTCAACAACAGAATGAACAAAAGCAATTGGAAGAAGATTATTTTTTCCTCACTCCTGTCATCACTGTTTTCCCTAATTTGCTTCTTTCTCCACTCCCACAAACCTCTGCATGCAAGCATGGGGCACTGGTCTGCATCAGCAGACTCTCAATGAGGTAAGCCTCACACCTGTTTGTTGGTCTTCTGAGTAAATCAGGTACCACAGGAGTCGGTACTTACTGAAAGCTGAAGACTGGAAGCATGTAAGTGTAGTTGAGAAGCTAATGGAACTTAAAGAATTGTCGTTAAATTTTGTGGTATAATAATCTTGACTGTTACTGCCCAGATAACTTTAACAAGTCTCAGGTAGGAAGAGTAAAGGGAAGCAAATACTTTATTTGCAAACTGAGGAAAACTATAGAACAGTGAAAACAGGTGTTGACAATCTGGAGTTCCTCAATACTTTGTTTTCTTGAGAAGAGAGTACTGTAAGTGTTCTGGGAATTTTTGTGTGTACTGAAAATGGAAAATGATGGTGCCTGGATAAGTGGCCTTTGTTCTAGTACAGTCCTTGGCTTTCTGCTGTGTTTCTTAGTTCAAGGACATTGATCTGTTTTTGTGTAGCTGGAAATGCTTCAAGGAGGTACTCACTTCTTCGAGTTTACAAGAATCAAAATTATGGCTTTAATAAATAAATACAGATTTTATTTGTTCTGCTTCTCAGAAATGGGAAACAGCACTAAATTATCTGCCCTTGTCTCGAAATTTGAAAATGTATTTTCAAATGTATTTCAGTTGAAGATCAGAATTCTAGTTTCTAGTGGTAAGGAATTAACTTCTAGTTTCTGTTCTTATGTATTATGCAAATGAACAAGTTTTTAACAGTTCATAAAATAATTCCCATACGGCTCATAGTCTTGGAGTGGTTTTGAATTATAGGTACTGTTAACACTGGCCACCAAAATGCTCTGGAGACTTTAGGATGTTTTCTTGTGATGCTATATGACTTCCAGGGTTTCTGCTAGCATGGTATTTTTATTTCGAAGACTAGAAGTAGAGGAGTTTTCAGTCTGGGAAAGCTTATAGTATTTTCTCAACTGGCAGGCAAAGTAGTTGCTAAAATAGGACTCTGCATAGAGCAAATTCTCCCTCGTGTTCTTTATGTTGGAAGGGGAAGGATGCAAATGAGTCAAGAAATAAAATGCCCTGTCCCCTTATAGCTGGTCTTCTTCCATGTTTCATTGTTCTGATTTTGTGTCATTTGTTGGTGGAAGACTTTTGTTCTTATCTGCAAGCAGCACCTCTAGTTAGAGATCTCATGCTTCTCATTTGCTGTGTTCTCAGTTTTGTTTCTTTTGACTTTTGGGGAGCTTTGGAAAGGGGGAGGTATGTATTGAGTGCCCATGGAGCTTGCTCCTTTCTTTACTGGTGAGATGATTATTTCCTTTCACTAAAGAAGTGTTTCCTCCTTCAGTGCCATTATATTGCTCTCTCAGTTCAGTGTGGTGCTGACCTCTCTATGTTGATGGATTTGCATTTCTTTCTCACTCCACATCTGCTTTGCAGTATCAGGTTATCTTTCTGAGTCAGACTTCTCACTTCTCTGTGTCTGTTCCTGATTTTTTTCCATGTATTCCTAATGTTGGGTACATGCACCACAGCTGTTGCTGGTCATTCTGGACCATGAAGTGCTATGAATTTTTACTGTTCCAGCAAATGATACTGTGCTAGCATGTGTGAAAGGGATGGTAGGAAGCCCTTCCCTCCTTCGCCCTCATTCTTATCCTCTTACTCCCTTTGCTACATCTGGCAGTGCCATTCCCTCTCTGCATGTTTATAATGTAGAGTACAAGTAGAATAATTTAGGCAAGGATGAATTTCTACCATATGTTCATGTCCTTCTACTAAGATAACTGCAATAAACAGGCTGAAGGAGTAACTTAATGCTAAACATCTAATGAATTTATGTTTAGTATTAGAATAAAAAATTGTACCTATGATAACTTTGTGATAATTATGATAGCATTTTGTGTAATTTCATCTATCCAAGTCACTGGCTAGCAATCAGTCTATAATGTCATCACTGCTACCTAATTATCTTGGTTTTTTTGTTCCTGCTTCCCCCTGTAAGCCTTTGATTTCTGTGGAATGCTTGCCTTAGATGAGAATTCTTACCAGGTAAAAAGGGTAGGAGAGAACACTCCAAGACTGGGAGAGATTGCTTGTAGCTAATTGTACTTGTCATACTCCTGTTTTCTAATATTTTCCACCTAACTAGCTTAAATTTGTTTCTTTAATTTATACTTCTACACACTTTCTGACTTGGGATTTTTTCTCCCTTTACATTGAAAATACTTGCATACAGTCATCTTTCAGCAAACCTTTGCTCGCTGGATTTCCAGTAGTTAAAGCCATTAAGTTCCTTATAATTAAATGATAGTTGTTTCTGAGTGGGAGGAAGAAACAAGATTGTGCTACCCAGGCTGCCTGGCTAAGCTGCCTTTTAAAATTTCCTATGTCTTTTTTTAAAGTGCTTTAGGATGCTTCCATGTCAATTTTAACTTCAGTAAAATAATAAAACGGTTTCTCAAGAAGATGATAAAATGTTGTTTTCCTAAGATGTTGATTACTTTTCCAGTTTGCTTATGAAAATAAAAAGAGACCTCTAGAAAGAACATTTTTAGCATTAAAATGCATTAAATATAGCTTTTCAGTGTGTATTCCTAACAAGTAAGGTCATTAGACTGTTTTCAATATCCAGGTCTTTAATAATGTGAGAAATCTTACTGCCTGTGTCTTAGAGTGAAAAAAAAAAGAAGTGCTGTTTACAGTAGTTAAAATAATGTCTGTTAGCTGTCTGTATAGTATAGAACTAAGTTTCAATCATTCTGTGACCTCTGTTTCTGTTTTTTACCTCTGCAAAAACTAAAAGTATTCACTTTGGTGTCAACCTGTGTGTTGTGATGCTTGCTCTTAAATGGCATCCAGTTTGTCTGGGTGAAGTTTTTCTCCATACTAAATATAGAGTTTCCTGAAGTTCATTGAATGCTAACTAACAAAATATGGATTCTTTCTTGTAAAACTGACAGTTGTCCAGTGGTAAAATAGTTGAAAACCTTGCTTTTGATTTGTGTATGTGGGGAAGTGGATGAGGGTCAGAGAACCCAAGGAAAGCTCAGCCATCTGTAGGCATTGGCATTCCCCACTGTCCCTGCCTTTCTTCCATGCTATGGGATTTTCACACTGTTTTATCCTAGTGACTACACAGAATGATTTGTTGATGCATCCAAATATCTCTTCAGTATAACATCTTGTTTAACTCTGTATTACTCACACAAGAAGAATATAATATAATTTTAATTGAATACTTAATCAGCAGTTACTCCACATAATTTATGATTTCTATTTGCTCTTTAAACAGCAGATTTGGAAAATGCTACTGAATTTTTTTCTTTGTATTTTACACATGCAATTTTTTTTTTTTTTTTAACAAGTCATGGTTTCCTGGTGATTCCCTTTTGGCTCTTGATTTTCATTTATAGTTAGGCACAATAATTAGCATAATTTGACATAAATACAATGAAGAAACAATTCCACTGACTTACATTGCCCCACCAGATTTGGTTGACTTCTGGGCCCAGTTTGGTTAGGGCTGTCCTTTTGTTTACAGTAGTCTGTGTATTGACATATGCTTGCTTTGTATGTTGTTGTAAGAGCCTTGTCTATATTACTAATAATTTCTCAAAATAAATGCATTTTCAAAGTTTGGAACTTTCTACATACTTGAAATAAGTAAACTAGCTTATAAATGACTGATCTTTAATTTTTTTTTTTTAGCTTTCACTTAACAGAAGCAATTAGACAAAATGTTTATCTAGTTTGGGGATAGGGAGAAGGGATATTGAACTGCCTGTGGTTAGTTGCTACAATATTGTTTATCCTGCATTGCATCAGATAAAAACTTGCAGTAGTGTCGTGTTGTATTTGTTATTAATCACTGAATATGTCATGTGAAAGAAGTAATTTATCATAGCTCAGCAGCAGTTTGCAGATAAATTTTACATAGGCTACTTGTTGATACTATTAAGAATACCATTATGTAAAGTGAAAGCTTTTATGTGTGGTATGTAACAGAGATACAGGATTAAAAGCAGTACGTTATACTGCTATTGCCGTGGTCTCCATTGTAATATGGCATTTGTTTCAGGCTGTGCTGTAAGCCACCCCAAACAAAATTGACTTGTAACCTCTGCAGGTTTCACCCAAGTGAAGTTTGCATTGCTTTGCACTGTGAGGAGGCTTTGGCAGTAGCTTGTACTTGACAATATGACCTTAGTAGTTAACTGTCAATTTGGCCAAGCTACTTTATGCTGTTACCTCCTTTCAGGCTAGAGTGTGTGTTCTATATATGTGTTTGTTGATGACTCATCTTTTTCCTGTGAAACAAATTGCAGGGAGAATACTCTGTTTAGCATATATTGAATTTTTATCATACTTTCTTTGTAGTGTTCCAGTTTCCCTGTGCTTTTGAAAAAGTACTTGAAACTTGGCATCAAGCTGGTCTTTGGCCATTCCTGTAAAACCTCACTCAAGTTTGTCTTAATTTGTAAGTCATTAACACAGAAGGTGGTAGTTTTCAGAACAAGTTTGTTACACTTTGGACATAGTCCATAATAACTGTGTCTTAAGAAAGCCTGTCCAGTCTGAGCACATTGTG